ATTCCCCCCCCCCCCAAAATGGATGCAGCATTGTATAATTCAAGTTACTTTTTGAGTTTCTCCTTTGTGCTTTAATAAATTTTATGGCTTTTAGGTATCTTGATTTTAGACTTACACACTGAATATCTTCTGAAAGAAATGCTTTTGGCCCGGTCAGGCGTGGCTCAGCGGTTGAGCGTCGACCTAGGATCCAGGCGATCAGGGTTCGATTCCCGGTCAGGGCACATGCCCGAGTTGTGGGCTGTAGCCAACCAATGACTCTCTCATCATTGATGTTTCTCTCTCCCTCTCTCCTTCTCCTTTCCTCTCTGTGAAATCAATTAAAAAGTATAGTAAAAAAAAAAAGAAAAGAAAAAAAGAAATGCTTTTGTACTATCAAATTTATCTAAATTAGTCAAAAGTATCACTATTATAACTCTATTTTTAATATATGGTATCTGTTCTAAAAATGCACTCTAATAGATAAAACTAACTTATTATTTTGTCAACAGAGTGGGAGACTAAGCAAAGAGCTGGATTTAGTAAGTCACCACGTGAGGACAAAACTTGATGAACTGAAAAGGCAAGAAATAGGAAGATTAAGAATGCTAATTAAAGCTAAATTGGATTCCCATCAAGGTAAGTGCTAAATAAAAAGTAGGAAAATTTCAATATTTGGTTGTTGAGGTCAATTTACATTAGCACCTGACATGTTTTCTAGTCAAAATTTAATGTTAGTATTAATTTGGCTTTTCTTAATTTTTAACATTTAATTAGTTGAATGGGTAATACATTCCCATCATTCAAAAATCTAAATGCTTAGCTTTAAATAATTATATCAATAAAAAGGAAGAATGAAAAGTAATGAATTAAGCCACTGATTTAAAAGAGGAAAAATAACATCAAAGCAAACCAAAAGAAAGCAGAGAAAGAAAATGTAATTGGACCACTTTCCATAGATGAAATAGAAAAATTGTCACAGAGCTAGCTCCACAAAAAACACCAGCCCGGATTGTTTTAAAGAGAATTCTATCAAACCATTAAAAAGCAGATTGTGAATGCTATTTAAACTAGTCTAGAGCCAATGAAAAGAAGGAAAGCTTCCACACTTTTATTATATATTGGTGTCAAAACTAAAATTATTGTACATCAAAATAATTCTATATCATAGCAAGTGGATTTATTTCAGGAGTATAAGAAATCTAATACTATAAATCATCATATGACTAGAAATAAGGAAAGAAGATCTTAGTGTGACATAAGAAATCATAAAGTCAAAGAACAAATGATAAATTGGAATAATTCTTTGAAGCTTGATTAAAAAAAAAAATTAAGACAGTTTTTTAAGAGCAATGTAAGGTTCACAGCAGAATAGAGGGGAAGGTACAGAGATTTATCATATATCCTCTTCCGCTCAACATTGTAAACATGTTTATTCTCCATAGGTTAATTTATAAATGTAACAGGATCCAAATAAAAATATGTGCTTTTTTTTCTGGTACTAGCCAAGTTAATTTTAAAGTTCATATGAAAAAAGGAAACAAACAAGGAAAGCTACATACCTCTAAAAAAGAAAAATAATGAAGGACTAGATATATTAGATATTAAAATACATCACTAAGCCTCAGTCATTAGAACTGTATGTTTTTTACATATAAGTAGAAAGAACCATGGAACAGAATAGAAATTCCAGAAGTAAAATTAAATACACGTAGAGTTTAGTTTGAATTAAAGGTTGTATCTCATTTTTAATGGGATAAAGATAATTTAATACAATGTATCAATGTGATTGGGTATCTGATTGGGAAAAGGTAATAGTTCTCTATCTTGTACATATCAGTATACGTTCAAATAAATCAAAGATTTAAGTGTAGAAAATAAAACTGTAAAAGCATTAGGTGACAACATAGGTGAATTCCTTTATTATCTTAGAATAGTTTTTCTTATAATGAATGAAAATCAAGGGGCCAGATTTAGCAGATGGGAGACCCTTCAAGCTGGCTCCTGTGTCCTTGTGACTTGCCCCTATAGGTTGGTTATTTGGGTGGTGCATTGTCACTAATAGAATCTGAACATTTACTCTTGGTAGAATAGTAGTTTTTAATCTTCAGATTCCATAAGAATGACCTGGGGAGCTAGTTAAAAATGCAGATTACTGGCCTGGCTGGGCGTGGCTCAGTGGTTGAGCATTGACCTAGGATCCAGGAGATTGTGGTTCGATTCCCAGTCAGTGCACATGCCTGGGTTGTCGGCTGGATCCCTAGTCAGGGGCGTGCAGGAGGCAGCTGATCAATGGTTCTCTCATCATTGATGTTTCTCTCTCTCTCTCTCTCCCTCTCCCTGAAGTCAATAAAGATAAATTTTTTTTTAAAAAAAAGCAAATTACTGGACCTTACTTCCAGGTATTCTGATTCTAAGGATGAATAATCTGCATTTTAAATATGTGCTTCTGGTCAGTGGATTATATTGGAGAAATGCTCATGTAGAGCATTAGACTCGTTGCTAGTGAATAGATTTAGAAAACAAGTACCGAACACTCATTATCCTGATATTAAGGGTATCAATGAGAGGTAAGTTGAGCTCATACTGTACATACTATTTCAGATCACTAGGCACACAAGGTAATTTCATCCTTGAAACCAGGCCTAAGGTGTTTTGAAATTTCTTTCCTCTTAGCCTCTATTTCCTTTATCTTGGCAATATTTTCTTTATTTCAAGATAGAGACTGAATTTCATTATTTAAAGAAAACAGTCTAATATGCTTAGAAAACTTATGAATATTTTGTCATTGATTCAGAATTGAAATTTCTGATAATTTGAAGAAGGGTTTCAAGAATCTTAATTTGGGGAGGTATAATTTTTAAAGTAGGCAATACATTCCCATGGTTTAAACCCAGAAAGTCTAAGAAGGTATATAGCAAGAAACTCCTTGATATTTTTGTAACCTCCCAGTTCCCACTGCCCTAACACTATCCTTCCCAAGTTTCTTTATTCTTATATAAGCAAATACAAAAGAAGTTCTTATTTTCTCTCTCTTTTTATATAGAAGCTAGCATACAATACACTTTTTTGCCTTGTGTTTTTCCTTTAACAACATATTTTGGAGATCTTTCTATATTAATACATAGAGACCATCTCCATTTTTTTAAAACAGCTGCATAGATTTTCATTATATGGAGATACCATAATTTATTTAACCAGGCCTCTGTTGATAGACATTTGTTTTTTTTCTAGTGAATACTCTTGTACATATGTTGCTATGTATTTGTGTAAGATTACTTGTAGGATAAGTTCCCCACAGTGAAATTGTTAAATCAAAAGATCTATGTTATTTGTAATTTGGATAGATATTGCCAACTCCACAAAGGTTGTATCAGCACACTTTCCCACCAGCAATAATTTCTCACGGCCTTGCTAATAGTTTGCATTTTTAGGAATTTCACCATTCTGTTACATGATATACTAGTGAAGTTTTAATATGTATTTCTCTTATGTACTATATTCCTTTTTCCTAAGTGGGAACCCTGACTTCTAACAAATCAACACACACCTGTTTTGCTCAATTCTATAATACAACACAGTGCAGAATCACTCCATCCATTCAACTACAATATATTATTTGTAGCTTGTTTTTAAAAAATGTTTTACAAAGAAAAACAATCCATATTTCTTTACAAAAGTCATTATTCAGATGAATTTACCTGAATTAGACTTTGTCAAGATTCATTGGAGCAGCATACAAAGAGTCTTTCATACAAATTTTAGAGCACTTTTTTTTAGAAATTCTACTTAGAACTTTGGGGAGGGCAGTGTATTAGAATTTATCTAAAGAAAAGTAGGAAATTTCATAGTTTTATGATAATAAATAGTTTTTGCTGTTAATTATACTGATGGTCAACTAGTCTTTCAAGAAATAACATTAAGATATACACATTAAATTGTATTCCATTCTAGATTCAAGGACATTTCCTTTGCCTAGAATAACAAAATGTATAATATTCTAAAAGAAAATATGATCCCTTAATCTAAAACTTTGAATTTTGTTATAAAGTCCACTAGGAATAAATATGAATGCTTATTCTTATGTAACACTTATACTAATGTTTCTAGCTTCTAGTATTTTATCATTTATAGTTTTCTCATTTTCTTTCAGATACAGGCATAGACCACCATGCTCTTCTAAAACAATTTGATCACCTAAACCACCTGAATCCTGACAAATTTGAATCTACAGATTTAGATATGCTAATCAAAGCAGTAAGAATAATTCCAAAAAATAATGTCTATGTTGTGCCTTTGAGGTTTTGTAAGTAACTATATATAATGGTTATATATATGTAATTTGACAAGTAAATTCAGTGAAGTGGTAATATAACTTTTATATAATACTCTCTAGCATATCTTTAAAGGGAGATGGCTTAACTTTTATTAGTACAGATAATAATTTGTATATACAGGTCTGTAATACTTTACCCACAATTGCAAAATCCAAAAAACTATAAAAACAGAAACCTGGCTTGAATTATAGTAGGGCTATTTATATTTTTTATTTAACTTACTTAATGTGAGTACTCCTAGATTCTGCTGAAGAAGTACTATTCTGTTTGATTACAGACTCTACAGGGATGTTCCATAATGTGGCATATGTGCTATATTCCCTTTCTAAAAAATCTGGAAAATTCTTTTTTTTCTTCCAGTTTTATTGAGATATAACTGACACGTAACACTGTTTAAGTTTAAGATGTACAGCATAACGACTTGACATTGCAAAATGATTACCAAAATAAGTTTAGTTGACATCCATCACCTCATATAATTACGAAAAAAATTTTTTTTCTTGTGATGAGAACTTTTAGGATTTACTCTCTTAGCAACTTTCAAATATACTATACAACACGGTTAACTATAGTCATCATGTTGTACATTACATCCCCAGGACTTATTCATCTTATAACTAGAAGTTTGTACCCTTTGACCACCTTCACCCCATTTTCTCACCCCTCTGCCTGTGGTAACCATAAATCTGATCTCTTTTTCTATGAAGTTAGTTTAAGATTCCACATATAAGTGAGATCATACAGTATTTGTCTTTGTCTGACTTATTTCACTTAGCATAAGGCCCTCAAGGTCCATCCATGTTGTCACAAGTGGCAGGATTTCCTTCTGTTTTATGCCCGAATTGATGGACACTTAGGTTGTTTTATCTCTTAGCTGTTGTAAATAATGCTGCAGTGAACATAGGGGTGCAGATATCTCTTTGCCATAGTGATTTTGTTTCCTTTGGATATACACCCAGAAGTGGAACTGTTGGATTATATGATGGTTCTAGTTTTAATTTTTTTGGAAACCTCCTTACTGTTTTCCATAGTGGCTACACCAATTAACAATCCTACCAACAGTGCACAAAGGTTCCCTTTTCTCCACAACCCCGTCAGCATTTATCTCTTGTCGTTTTGATAGCCATTCTAAAAGGCATGAGGTAATATCTCATTGTGGTTTTGATTTGCATTTCCCTGATGATTAGTGATGCTGAGTACTTTTTTGTGTACCTGCTGGCCATTTGAATATCTTCTTTGGAAAAATGTCTATTCAAGTTCTTTGCCTATTTTGAATTGGATTAATTGGGTCTTTTTGCTATTGAGTTTATGAATTCTTTGTGTATTTTGTGTATTACCTCCTTGTCAGATACATGATTTGTAAATATTTTCTCCCATTCCATCGGTTGTCTTTTTGTTTTGTTGACTGTTTCCTTTGCTGTGCAGAAGCTTTTTAGTTTGATGTCCATCCCACTTGTTTTTTTATTTTGTTGCTTGTGCTTTATGTGTCCTATTTAAAAAATCATTACCAAGACCCACGTCAAGAAGTTTTTCCCTATGTTTTCTTCTAGGGGTTTTATAGTTTCAGGCCTTACATTTTAAATCTTTAATCCACTTAAAATTAATTTTTGTGAGTGGTGTAAAGGGTTTAGTTTCATTCTTTTACATGTGAATATCCAATTTTCCCAGCACCATTCATTGAAGAGAGATGGTTATTTCTCCATTGAGTGTCCTTGGCTCCCTTATCAAATATTAGTTGATAGAAAATTCTGGAACTCATCTGGCCTCAGGGATTTTAGATAAGAGTTTGCATACCTCTCATGTTGTATTGTACCAAGTTACCAAGCTAAATGTTCTTGCCTGGATGTTATGAGATGGAATTAAGTGTTGAGAAACTAATGTAGTTTGCTACTGTACAGATTTGATACAGTCCCTTCCGTTTTCTTTTTCAAATCAATTCATATATTACTTACTTATGAGGAACTTCCTAAACTTTTAGTTCCTTTGCCTACTTTTCTGGTAATAATAATGACTGAAATAAAATGGTAGAATTTAAAAAGAGGAGTCCATTATTTTTTTGGACCTCTTATACTGTCTTCTTTTAGAAAATATGATATATGCAAGAGTGGCTTTATTTATACTTTTCAAACATCTTTTTATTTAAATTATAGGCTACAAGTGATCTGGAACACTATGATAAAACTCGACATGAAGAATTTAAAAAATATGAAATGATGAAGGAACATGAAAGGAGAGAATATTTAAAAACACTGAATGAAGAAAAGAGAAAAGAAGAAGAATCTAAATTTGAAGAAATGAAGAAAAAGCATGAAAATCACCCCAAAGTTAATCATCCAGTAAGGATTATGACTTTATGAAACCATAATTAGAGGAAAATGCTTCTTTGTACCAGATAGTAGAATTTTATCATAAGTTATTGGTACTTAAATATTGATTCCTAATTCTGCATAGTTCCTCAGCTTTGTATTTTATTTTGAATATATACACATAGATTATGTTTTGTTTAAGTGTTTTTTAAAATTGATTCACAGGGAAGCAAAGATCAACTAAAAGAGGTATGGGAAGAGGCTGATGGATTGGATCCTAATGACTTTGATCCCAAGACATTTTTCAAATTACATGGTAACATATTTGATACAAACATTAATATTTATATCTACTGTTTGAAAAATTATAGTTGCTTTACTCTTAATATTTCTACCAAGGTCTGCTATTGAGTCCTATTGATAATAAATGTTTAGAGTTTTTCTCTGGAGTAATATAATAGTCTTTATTGCTGATATGCACTATAAAATATTTTATGTCAGTAGCTGTATCTTTATATTAGCTTTTACTGGTAAGTCATTATATGACTTATTACAAGATTCTCTGTAAAATGAAGGTATTTTTGTGATGAGGTAGGTGATATCTAACAGGTTTTACGCTATAATATTAAAATTTACTTTTACTCTTATAGCATATTGCTTTACTTTATATTTTTGGAGAAAATTGTGTGATATGTTTTTCTAAAAAACTATGACAAATTATAAATAAGTGAATTGTTATTAGTTGGACTGATCTGAGGCTTCATAAAAAAGAAGAAACCTTTTTCTGCCTCATATTGATGCTTCATGTCAGTACTACTTTTGCAAACCATTTGTAAACTGTTGTATTTTAGTGACTTATTTTCTAAGGCATTAAAATCAGTTTTTTGCATTGGGAACTTTAGATGTCAATAATGATGGCTTCCTTGATGAACAAGAATTAGAAGCCCTATTTACTAAAGAGGTAAATGAGTTCATTAAGTATTCTGTTGTTTTGCTCTCTCTTTTTTTCCTTTTATTATCTTTCTTTCTTTTATGTTGGCTTTAAATTTTTCTTTTTAGTTGGAGAAAGTATATGACCCTAAAAATGAAGAGGATGATATGGTAGAAATGGAGGAAGAAAGGCTTAGAATGAGGGAGCATGTAATGAATGAGGTATGTTTGAAAGTTTAAGATATGTCACAGTATTTCTATGCATCATTTAAGCTGTTGCAATAAATCTTGCCACAGAATGGAAGACAGGTTTGCAGAATAGGTATTTAACTGGATTTTGCATTTTAGATCCAGAATATTCAGTACATTCCCTTGCTGTCAATAAAATAATTTTGTAACTCCTTTAAAATATTTTAAAAGATTAAGATGCTGCTGCATATCAACTATAAAACATCCTTTTGGAAGTAAAAAATAATGTAGTCCAATATTTAGTATTTTAAATGATTATTTTAGTTTTTGGCAAGATAATCCAAAATTCTAGTACCTAAGTGGTTGATAACAACAAGTACTTATTTCTTGTTCAAATTACTAAGCTGGAAACTCTGATATAGACATCATAAGCAGGGTAACTAAAGCCCCACTGCTTTGCTTCAGTGATTTTCACCTGATATTGATGAACTGGGATTTCTGTTGACTGCGGGCATCCCAGGTATCAAATGAATTTCTTTGGTTATTGCTTTTTAAACTGAATTTGCCATAGTTTATAAGAGCCATTGGAGGCTTTGGAGAGATTGTGAACTTCCGTTTTGATTTACTAGGTTGTTTGTTTTTAAGAAAAACTGTTGAGAGCATTTTAACTTAAACTTCTTTACTCTTGGCTAAATAATCCTCTTACTGAAAAGGTTATTTTTCTTGCCCAAACATTTGGCTTCAAGAGGGACTATACATGGTGTGGTGAGGGCGGAAGACAGATCAGCAACTTAAACTTGGTGATTTTGGGGGGGTATCAGGGATGTAGATATTTCACAGCATTTCCAAATTTGAATTATATAGAAGAGAAAAATACCTATTTTCTGATTCTGGTATAATGTTGAGTGTTCTGTTTTGTTTTCCCCCCTAGTGTTTGTGGATGTTAGGCTCGCTCTAACTGCTGTATGTTTATGTAGTAGCATCTATTGGAAGACAGTTTCTAGTGTCTACTTAATATGAAAAAGAGTTATTTGATTTTACTAAATTTTCCTTTAATCAGGTTGATTCCAACAAAGACCGATTGGTGACTCTAGAAGAGTTTTTGAAAGCTACAGAAAAAAAGGAATTCTTGGAGCCGGATAGCTGGGAGGTAACAGAACCTGTTTGAAACGGGATGTGTGGTTCAAGAAATTCTACATCAGTGTATTCTACTTTTAACTTTTATTCCCCATTATGCTTGCGTGTATAGCCTTACCACTTTGGCTTTTCATATAAAATGTCACTTCAAAATAATGAACTTGATTTCTTGGAAAGCTTCTGGCAATTGCACTCTTATTTGTAATCACATTGCATATAATTAGAAGTCTTTTAAAAATTATAAAATAATGACCATTCTTGAAAATTAGAAATATAAGTACATTTAAAGAATAAATTAGAAGTTACCTATAATTCTACCATCTAGAGGTAGACACTAAAATTAGGTACTGTGTTCTGCCAATTTAGAAATAGTTTATATATTTAATATATGCATATATAGCATACAGTGTATAAATAGTGTGTGGTTCCATTTTTAATTTACATATACACATAAATTCATAGCTATGTATTTTTAAAAATGGCTTTATACATATAAATGACTTTGTATGTTTGCAAAATTCTGGTTTTTAAAAATTTATCAATATTTCACAATGCCATTTTCCAATGCCATTCCTCAAAAACATGATTTTAAAAATGACTACTTAGCATGCAGTTGAGTGGTTGTAGCATCATTTATATAACTATTCCTCCAGACTTAGACATTCTGGATCCATTCCACTTTTTTTTTTTTTTTTTTTACTGCGTATTTTGTCATACTGAAGTCTTTAATTGCAAACTAGTCAAATTTATTAATCTATTTATGGGTTGCATTTTTTAATGTCTTATTTANCCTTTTTTTTTTTTTTTTTTTTACTGTAATAAAAAACACAATTATAACTGTTCATTTGTTCATACATTTGCACCATTTGTGATTTCCCTGGGATTAATTCCTAGGAATAGAACTATTCTCAAAGTTTATGAACATTTTTTTAGTTTCTAAATATATCTGTCAAATTGCTCCAGAAAGGAGCAATTTATACCATATTTTGTACCATAGTTTACCATACCAATTTATACCATAGTTTACCGTGTATAAATGAGTGCATACACATCTTTACAAGAGTGGTTGAAAGGTACTGACTGTTAGGGTTTTGGCTGGTGACTCGGGGCTGTGAAAGATTTTACAACTGAGAGGAGAGATAGTTGTAAAGAGGGAGTTTATTGTATTCTCCCACCCCCAGTCTAAAAAGAGGAAAGGGCCAAGCATCCGCCTTTGGCAGCGGCACAGGGCACCTAAGACAGGGTGGATTGTTTTTTGTTAGGGCACTGGGGAGTAAATGCAGCTAGGGCAAAACTGATGAAGTGGGGAGGGGGACTTGGGAGATTGCGTTGAAGCTTTCCAGATCCTGGAGGTTGTCTTGAGGAGTTATAGTTTGTTTTTAAGTCGACAGTCTGGTAGATGCCCTAGGCAGGTGGCAGGTGTCTTATCAGCATTTTCACAAGCCTGTAAAACATACTCAGGGCAAAAGTTGACAAGAGTTGGAGAGAGGGAGGAGTGTGGTTTTCACTAGAAACTCTTTGGCTCGGATTTCCCCTGAGTCATTAAAAACCGCAGGGAGGAGGCTGGGGCGGGGTGGTGGTGGTGGTAGAGGTAGGGGCCAGGCTTTAGCAGCCCTTATCTGTCCCGCTGTTTGGATTAGGGAAGCCAGCAATCTCCGCAGATAACAGCTGGAAAATTTAAAAATTTTTTAAAAAGAATTTTATTTATTTATATTATATATGTACATAAATACACACATACTTGCATACATATATATAGACACACCTACATACATTTATATTCGTTTTTATATAGCTATCAATATGTATTAAAACTCATGAGTTCACACTATCTTTTTTTTTTTAAAATATATCTTTATTGATTTCAGAGAGAGGAAAGGAGAGGGAGAGAGAGAGATAGAAACATCAATGATGAGAGAGTCATTGGAGATCGAGCCCGCAACCCAGACATGTGCCCTGACCGGGAATCGAACCCCGATCACCTGGATCCTAGGTTGATGCTCAACCGCTGAGCCACGCCCAGCCGGGCAGTATCTTCTTAAATTTCAATCCAGCACCTTCAATTTCAATACACTTTATCTTTTCCTCTTTCTATATTTCATATGCAGCCTGGCTCCCATTTTTCACAATAATATCCCACTTATTTGCTCAGTCCTAGCATGTACAAAGCATTTTAGAATTGCTAATCCATGCCTCTGCAAAACAAGGCTTTAGGATTTGTTTAGACTTTTTGTTTGTTTTTAACCTGAGGGCATGTAGTCCAGATACTGTGATCAGAAGTTTCTTGGATTAGTTCTTTTCCCCCTCCCCCTTCTGTCAGTATCTTATTTACTTAAGATAAAAGTATTATTTATTTTGCGCCTATTTGTATTCAATTTGGGGAATTTTTCTGTCCTTGAGGTTTTTGTGTTTTTTTAAAAATTTTATTTTTGTTTGAAATATTACAGATCCTTGTGGTTTTTTGAGTACGTGAAACATTGATATGTTTCTGAGAATCAAATCTGTACAAAAAGGTGTATTCAAAGGAGTGTGATCTCCTTCCCTTCATTCCCTTGGTCCTTTCTACCCACTTTCCTCCCTTGTTCTGTACGTGAACAGTCTCATTAGTCTCTAGGTTTTCCTTTGGCTCAGATGAGTATATAAATATACATTTTCTTATTTCCCCTCCTTTCTTATCCCAAAGGTATAATACTATATCCTGTTGTACTCTGCTAATCATAGAATTTTAAAGCTGACTCAGACCTTATGGGTGTATTTCTAAGATTACTCTTTCTTCACTTCTTTTCTTCTAGACATTAGATCAGCAACAGCTCTTCACAGAGGAAGAGCTGAAAGAATATGAAAACCTTATCTCTGTACAAGAAAATGAACTTAAGAAAAAAGCTGATGAGCTTCAGAAACAAAAGGAAGAACTACAGCGTCAGCATGACCAACTCCAGGCTCAGAAGCTGGAATATCATCAGGTGGTATTTTGTAAAAGGATTGTGGCATTAAAAAGGATTTTGGGCCTTTTGCTAAAAGCCTGTGTTGTAATATTTTAATGTACTATTAGCTATAGTATTTTAAATTTTGGTATTTTTAAAACTGCTTTGTTGAATATTAATCTAAATTTTAGAATTTATCTCATTTTGGAAAATAATTTTCAGTTAGTCTGTTGTGATTTGTTAGAGGTCACACATATCAGAGAAAGTCAAATAATACTTCCTTTTAAAACATTCTTTTTCCATGCCCCAGGTCGTACAGCAGATGGAACAAAAAAAGTTACAACAAGAAATTTCTCCATCAGGCCCTGGTAGAGAGTCAAAGTTCGAGCCACGTATGTAATTTTGTTTGATTATTTGTTTGTTTAAGAAAATAAATTGAAATCCACATTTATTGCAAATATAATTTCAAATTATTAATATCTATGCTATTTTCTATATATTTGTGGAAACAGAGAACCTTGCATTATAGAAGTCCTTAAAGTTTTTATGCATCTGTACATTTCAAAAGCTATATAATTTGATAACCATATTTATGGTGATTTATTTCAACATTATCATTCTTTCTAATCAATTATTGATATTATCAGAGAACATGTTTTATTTATTTTTAAAATTTTTTTCTTAACTTATAGCCTCCTTTCTGACTTTATTAACAGTTTTGGTTTTACAACACTTGATAGGGTAAGCTTCCCCAGCCAGACAGGATATCCATTCCCATAAAACAGATAAAGAAGATACAAGTTTTTTGCATAAACCTGTCTAAACATTCCAATGTTCATAATCCCATTGAACCTTTTGTTGGGAAAGCAACCTTTATGTTCTGTCAGTCTAATTGTAGCCCATGCTAGGGCTTTGACAGTAGATTTTGATACCACAGTTTGTGGGGCTGCCATGTCAGTGAGCCCGGAAACTTCTCTTTACCTCCTGACCATTTTACCTACTGTGGTGTAAAGGCTTTGAATCCCCAGTGAGGGGTCGAGTCAAGAGACCCTGGTACTTTTGTCAGTCTTCATCTTGATTCATCTCCCTAACCATTGCTCGAAGCAATTGCAGGTCAGATTTCTTACCATAATCTTTGAATCTTGGCTTTCAAAATGTCTCCAAACCAGGATAAATAAAGCAGACTCGTTTGGGGCTCTTTAATCCTGAGGTGTTGGTAGCGGGTACTTTTGGCCTGCATCACCTTGGGTAGTACTGTATTAAAACCCCATCAATGTCCATTTTATTCACACCTAACCGTCAAGGGTGTGGGTGTGCATGTACTAGGCCAGGGCCACTGTGGTTTGGGTCACAGCATTGGCTCCTTCTCTGGGGGACTCAGGGGCGTGGATTCTGGGCAGCTCCATCAGCTGAGATTAGCATAGGCAAAGACTGCGGGAGTCCTTAGTGCTAAAAACTTTGGGTGTCTCTGACAGCCACGGGGACTGCTTGGGTCCTTGGTGGTGAAAGCTGCTGGGGTCTTTTGTTCTCCTTTTCCTCCAAAGGGGGAGGCCACAGCTGAGGGTATGTATCCCTTTTGGCAGAAAGCTCTGTGCGAGTGGGGGATGGGCTGACATAGGTAAAATGCTGCCTGTGCTGTTCTTTGTGGGCATCTTTGATTTCCGCGCTCCACTAGGTTGCTCTAGCTCCTGCATTGTACTCCAGATCTCTCTCAGAGCTATTTTCATCAGTAAGTGGTTGTTAATCATTGTTTTTCTGGAGGTACAAGTACTGGGACCTCCTAGTCCACCAATCTTGCTGATGTCATACTACTAAATGTTTGCTGTTTCTTTTTTGTGTCTGTAAGAAATAAAGATGGTCCTTTGGGGGGCAGGAATTTTTACATAGTATTGACTTTAGCTGGTTTGCTTTTATGGTGCTAAGCTCAATCAGGACAGGCTAGGACCCAAGGAAAGCTAGCTGGCTTGTGCTTCCTCCAGAGGCATCAGTGACTGTCCTTGATACTGAAATTTGGCTCAGGAGTCTCAGAGGACAGAAATTTCAGGCAATTGATGAAAGGTAGAGGGATTTCTTCTTATATAAAAAAATAAATAACTGGTCTGCTTAGACTGGAGTCGACCCATTAAAAGTATTTGGAAATGTCTCTAGGTTGGCAAGATTTGGATCACAGACCTTTCTCAAGAGCTGTGGATGTGTCATCCATCACACTGGAGACCAGTCCCAGCCATACCCCCTCAACCAGGGCACTATGGGTAGAGGTACTGATCTAGACTGCTGGGGTGATCATCCCCAAGTAAGTCATATAGTTGTGCAAACTGATCTATGCCATAGGGAATGGAGGCCTAAGGAGGATCAGACACCCAGACATATCTGCTGGAGATCACAAAGCTGAGAATCCCATGGTGCATTCCACACAGAGGCACTGGCCCCCCAGGGTGCTTGATACCAGAAGTCTTAGGTGGTTTATGGCCATAGGCATTCACAATGCTGGGACTCATGGTGTTTGTAGAAGTAATGGGTAAGGGGTTTCTGCCTCCTTCACTGAAACTATTTGGTTCGGTGCTTCTAGTGCCAGATTTAGCTGAGTTTGTAGCTGCTGCTGCTTCCTTTTGCTTCGCTGGTTCTTGAACTGAGTCTTTATTACTAACTCATCAGGTTGAGAGATGAAGTGCTGCTATGGTAACCCAATGTGAGTACATGGTCTTTTCAAATGTATCTTTCAGTTTCCTAAACTGTTCTGGACTAAAGGTTGTGCAGTATTGACGAGCAGACCTTGGCTTTTCCGATCCATTTTTTGGGGAAGATTTATGTAGAAGTCCCTTATTCTTCATACAAACACACTAAAAAAAGCCAGCATGCTGCCTAATCACCCAAAATGTAAAGACAAGAGGTCAAATTCCCAGATTTCACATAGTGTTTTGGCGTCTGCCATCATATCTTTTAGAAGTAGAATGAAGGATCTGCTGTGTGTGTTTCTGAGCTCCTGAATTTCATCTGTGTCAATCATATTTTTTAATTGTAATCTATGATTAGCTAAGTGTCTTTAAAAAACAAATATTATATATAAAAGAAGATTCAAAATAAAGGAAGATATCTTTAAAATGAGAATATATATTTTTTTCTTTGAACAGTCATTTAAAGTCCGAAGTCCACCAGAACTTGGAAGAAAACTGTAAAATCAACATCTGTGCCATCTTTTTACCTCCCTTTTTCTCTACTCAATAAATATTTTAAAGCATATATGGAATAAAGGAAGATAATTTTTAAGTGAGAGCACATTTTTTTGGGGGGGACACAGATATTTAAAGATTGAAGACCACCAGAACCAGGAAGAATACTTCAGTAACTGCCTTCACATTCATACCTCCCCCCTTCTTTCTTTGTTTTCCTGTAGTGATTTAATCAAGTGGCCGTAGGCCATAATTTAATGAAACTATCAGTAACTACTTAAGTGAGAAAGCTGTTTGTTGCTTTTAAAATAAATTGCTCTCTTATTCATGAAGATAGATATTCTTTTATGGGTGCTTATCATCCCCTCTCTCAATAAAAGTCTCTGCCATTCACAATTCTTCTCCTGCGAAGACCATCGTATTCCCCAGTGTTCCTTGGTAACTTTTTCCTGCTTTCAGCTTCCTTAGCTGCTAGAAATCCTTCTACTGAATAACTTTTGCTACCACTTTAGGTCATTTGTCATTCATATTTTTGCTTTATACTCTATCACTTAAGGTCAGGTTTGCTACATATAACCAAAAAACCAAAGATAACAGTGGTTTAAGCTAAATAGGAGTTTTTCCCTTTTATATAAAAGAAATCTGTAGGCAGGTGGTGTCCAGGTTTCTATCTTTCTGCTCTACTATCCTCAGTACATGATTTTTATCCTCAAGTTACTTCTAAGTAACCTACGTGGATCCTTACTATCCAAGATTGCTTTTGGAGGCAGCAGGGAAGGGCAAGAAAAGGAAATTTCTCCAGTTGAATCAGTTTCCTTGAGGCAATTTTCTTGGAGAACCACACAGCATTTGAACTTACATCTCATTGGCTCAAGCTGAGTTACATGGCCATCTAGCTGCTAGGGAAGCTGAGAAATCCTTGTGGCAATGTGACCGGCTAAAAGTTAGGATTCTTTAAGGAAGATGGGAAGAGGGAGTGTTTGGTTAGCAACTTTTAATTTTAACCCAGACAGCCTGCTGGCAACCTAAATATCTATGTATACTCTTCTAAAACAGAAAACACTCACTTCCACCACCTCAGAAGGAAACCACCCAAATCCCATCCATTATTGCATATTGCTCAAATACCATGATATCTCTGGCCATCTACAAACTAAAACGCAGGTGTCTGCCCCATGGGTACCATATGCATAATGGTGGAATAGGTACAGGATAACTGCAATAAAAGCAACCTTTTTGAAAAAGGAGAAAATGGGAAACATAGCAGTCACTGATCCATTGCAAGGTCTCTCTGCTCTGTCCATAAATATATTCCCTGTTTTTTTCACCAGACAATTCCTGATTCACCTTTCTGGGAGTAACTCCCTTGTCTAATGTCCTCAGGGGCCCTTGGCATTGCCCTCTAGGAAGACTTTATTGTTCATTAATTTTTAAGTACACATCCAAGTGGGAATTGGAAAGGGTGCCCTTCTTGGAGGCTGGACTGTCTTAGTACTTCACTTCCTATTATTTTGGGTTTGGGGGCTCGGGGATTGTTTTAGATAGTTACAGGCCATTGCAGGTTTAGGGTTTTTATTTTATTTTTTTGGCAAATCAGTTCCCTAAAAACTTAGTAAGTTTCTGGTTTGTTTTCTTCAATTATTATCATGAGTAACCAGAAAGATCTTGTCAAGGTATAGTTTTTAACAAAGAACCCATCTTTACTTGCTTCTGTGTTCTCTCTTTCCTCTGGGATCGTAAATGAATAGCATCTATTGGGAGCACTTTACACTATATATAGACTTGGATGGGATGACAACAGTTTTTATCTGATCTTTTTCTTTAGAATGGCTCCCATTACTTGGCAGAAAATTCTTAAGGGAAGGTTCTTGAAAAAGGTTAAGGAAATTTTAGCAGCTTCCTCAGAACCTTTACTTATGGAGTATGGTAGTTGACTTTTTCAGTTCTTCAGGGCTCCAGATTTAGGCCTTTGTGAATTTGTTTGGTAGGCAGAGAACAATTCCCTCAGCAAAGCTATATACCTTTTCATCTCTGCAGACTTGTCAACCTTATCCCGAGTTGCACCTGTCTTACAGGACTTTGCCGAAAGAGGCAGAGCTAGCCCCACATGTTAGCATTCTGAAGTTCTACCACCACTTTCTTTGATACCCTAACTTCAGTCTCATGTCCCAAAGCCCTACCTCCTCAACTCAGCCCACTTCACATTGAAGATCCTTTTACTTGCTGTACCTTACTTCTAGCTACCAAATTCTGTATAGGTCAAGATTCTTGGTTGTAGGTAATGGAATCTTCTTTAGCTATTAAACCAAATGGGATTGAGTAAGGGGTATGGATGGCTCACAGAATCTTTGAGAGGGCTGAAGAAACAGAACCTAGGCTGAGCTTCTAGGAACTACATCACAAGAGAGGGCTGCCAAAGAAGCTGCTGCTTTTGGAATAATCAAGAATCTGCCTGCCACATTGGGAAGCTACCTGCTGGATTGGGAAGATGTGAACAGTTGCCAGCTCCAGAACCACACTACCACTGCTATGCTCTGTGTTGGCAAAAATGGATACCTCATGTGCTGCTTCTCTCCCCATGTAACTCGGTTCCAAGTGAAAGTGTCAAGTGAGTGCATATGATTGTTGGACCAATCAGACCTAGAACCCTAGCTGCAAGGGAGGCTGGGAAATAATAGTGTTTAACTTCCCTACCTCTGTAGTACAGGAATACGTGTTTAAGGTTTTCAAGTGAGCCAATCCACTGTAACACCTCATAATTTTACATTGTTTCTCTTAACATTAATAATTTTTAAATTCTTATTTTTCATTTTATGAAATTTAAAATAATTATTGCATATTCCTCCAAACATACTTCTGAATTTTTTTTCTTTAAGTCATGGATTCCAAAATTAAATATAGCAATCTAGAAATGTTCTGCTTATATTTAGCTTCAAAAACCTCCACAAAAATCACTCAATAGAGTGATGCTTCATTTTTGAGGGATGGAGAAGAATTCCTATCTTTATTGTTTAAATTGTAGGAAACATTTAAAAAATGGTCTGGAATATCTTTTCATTTATTACTGTATCTGTGCCCAGAAACTGTGATAAGACAGGGATTTTCCTAGGGTAAACTCTTTTAGATGGTGGACTATGGTTAAATTGGAAAGTAGTTGGAGGAGAACTTACAGAAATTTCTTAAAATGCTTTTTTGGCATGAATAAATAATGGATGGATATTAATCTAGACATACCTCACAGTTTCTAGCAAATTATTATAATTTATTTTTAAAAGAATTGTTAGCTTAAAATTATTTATGGACTTAAGGAATTCCAGTTCTGTGAGTACTAGGCATTCATGACTGAATATTATTTCTTAGAAAGTGGCTAATAGTACTCTTTCCAGCTCTGTTAGAAAGTATTTGTTCTGTGTTTAGTTTATACCATTCTCCTTCATACCCCTTTAGATATTAGTCTTTGGTTTAGCTGACTTAGTGGTATGTATTAGTAATTTGGGGTTTTGTTTCAAATATGAATTTTCATGAAGCATGTAAATTTTATAGTATACTTAGGTCTGTATAATTAAAATTTTATTTTGAAAGATGATGATCCACTATAATATTTAACTCTCATTAAAGAGAGCTGCAATTTAGAAATAGCAGTGAAAATCCTTTGAGACATGGCTATACATTTATTTTAACCGAGTTTTGTTCACAACAGCATGATTTTTATGCTAATTGAACAGATTTGTATTATTATTATGAGCCTAAATTCAAAACTGGTTTTCACGAGGCAAGTCTGAAGAAAATATTAGTGTTTCGTGATAATGTGATTTTTAAGATAGCCAACTTTGTAAAGGAGGAGGTGAGAAAAGTATTTTCTTTACGCTGAAATACTGACAAACCTAGTTCTGGTTAGTGGCTAAAATTTAATCTTTGTTTTATAACTGCAGGACAATCAAGAAGAAGTTGAAAAAGAGCCAGAGCTAGATGGTGAGCTTCATTGTTTTCATGCAAGATTTTTATCTCCTGAAAACCTGCTAGAGAATTCCACCATCATCCTTCATCGCTGGTGCCTCTAACTTCATACTTTAATTCATTTATTTTTGTTAGAATTGAGAGATTAAGGTGTATTGTGTAAAATGCAAAGTTTACGCTTTAGTTCCTTGTGGGTGATAAAATGGAAGACTGGAATGACAACTTGCTTTCAAGGTTCGAGATTGGAAAGAAATTGTTTTTTTCCTTACTTTTTTTTTTTTAAACATAGTATTTTTAGTAGGACTCCAATCTCTCCTACTCATGTTATAACTTATTTTTTAAGTGAGTAGTTAGCTATGAATTAGTAACCATTTAAGAAATGAACCAGAACAAACAGCTACGGCAAGTGATAAAGACACCAAATTGAAAAATTAGGATTTATGGTTACCAGCATGTCAACCTGTTTATTCAGACAAAAGCAAAGCAAAATAAAACCAACAAAACCTTTGATTTAATTTAGGAATTTAGATTTTTTTTTCTAAATATGGCCTATAGAATTATGTAGAAAAACAACTATATGTCATATTTACAGACTTCTACAGTTTTCACTGTAGAGCTTTTAGTATACAGTTTAATTGATGCCAGTCACGTTCTCGATGACCAATGTCATGTACCAGCTTGGTTGTCAGCTGCCCTTGACAGTGTTCTTTACACTCTCACCCTTCTGGTTGCCTTCAAAGCTCTGCATGCTTGTAAACAAGTTTTCTTTTGTTTATAATTGTATATAATCTATAGCAAGCAATAGATTTGACTTTTCCTGTGCCAATTTTCTTACTCCCTTTTGTTTTATCCTTAAGATGGTTTCCGAGACTTTCTAGGATTATGAATTAAAATGTTAAAACATTTTATTTGACAATTCTTATAATTTTGGTACTCCAAGGAATTTTTAAATGAGTAATGATTTATTTTCCCCATGATTTTAAAGCTATCACTTGTCTGAGTGCTTTAAAATTGAGAGAGAAAAAGTAAAGCTTCATCAAGTTCTCTTTGCCATCCCCTCATGAATCATTGTATTAAAATGTTATTTTTGTTCACTTTTAGTCCATTTTAAATGTTCACTTTTAGTGATATGAGAGTATCTATCACTTAATGAAATCCCTGCCCTCATTCTAGATTCCTCAGGGATGGAGTATGAAACATGCGTGCAGCCCAGGCTGTATTTGTTTTGTACCACGTTGCTTTACTTATTTTGCTGTCAGTTAATTGCCCTCTGATTGTTAAAGTGATTTGAATTTGTCTTACTTTTGAATTTTATCCTTTCTGTTTTGGGGTTTGATTCTTTGTAATTATTTCCTTATTAGAGTATTGGTCTTATAATTTCATTTAAAAAATATATTTGCCATGCCCCTTGATGTTTTAAACATTTTTATGATAGTATTGAAGCATCTTTGTCAGACACAATTGAAAGCTGTCATCTTTGTGTAGTGATTTCTTCTTTTGCTATAGCATTGAGTAATGTATCTCAGAATTTATATCTAAATTTTTTCTAGCTGAGTTCTGATCCTGTGCATTTCTTTTTCCTTTGATGTGTAAGTATTTTCACTCTGACATTCATAGTCTGTTTCATTGAGATTCAAGGTTGATCTTGGCCTAAACAAAACTACATTTGCAGAAAAGTTAGCTTTTCTAGAACTAGTTAGACAAGCAGGCAGTCATTCCTAGAGTGGTTTCTGAGCACTGTGGAAAGGGCTTTTAACCCTGAAGAAAATTTGTAGCTCATGGGTGGAATCCCTGACTCCTGACTCCTTCCCTTTGAGAGAGTGAAACTCTGATGAATATCCCTTGTCCAATTCCTTAGCTTTTTAAATACCCTCCTTAAATAATAATAGTTTAAAAAATACATTGTGTACCCCAGCAGACATTTTCTATCTCACAGTTGTTAATAAAGCAAAAAAATTTGTTTGACTAGACCAGGACATGAATTCAGCAATCTCTGATTGGAAGAGAAGTAGCATCATTTATTGTTTCTTCATCACTTTTGCCTGGATGATCTGAGTTTTAATAAGTTCTTTCCTCTCTATGTACTCTCCCATTTTCCTACTTCTGTACTGAGTTTTCCATTATTGTATTTCTAATGCGCCTCCCTAATCACTGGAGAAAGCTCTGAGGGATATAGGATGTTGTAGCACCATTAAGTTTCATAGCCACAAGCTTCATGGGGCTTATTACCAGGCTTTTCAAATGAATTCTCCCCTGCCCTCGAAATCCAGAACTAGCCATCTTATCTCTGAGAGTTTGTTGTATTACTAATTAAGATGTAGATGTGACTTTATAAAACAGCATTAATTTCCAAAAGATTTATATAAAAGATAAAATGGAGACTAAGTATTTTACTTTAAGGACAACATTTTGAAGCCAGTTAATGCCCAGAGGGACTGTTTCATTCTTTTGTGATGACTCTGGTGACTTCCAGATAGTTCTATCTGCACCTCTCTATCTAGTTTCAGGGTCTAAGAATGGAAGCTGAAATACTGGAGGCTGAAATACTGCAGCCAAGGTGGACAGAGCCCCTTTTCAGTGAAGGTGTTTCTTTCTCTGAAACTGTTAGTCCTGTCTGGCCACAATGGCCAGAAGAATATGCCTAAGGAACTAACAGTAAAGGTAGAGCAAGATCCCTACTGTACAGAACAAGGCCCGACAAGCTAGCCCAATAATCACCGCTCTCCCTAAGTTCCCATAGAAACCAGTCACACTCCGGCCAAGCATAACCCCATTACTCATTGTAAGACATTGTTTAAATCCTTCCTTTTGTGTTGCTAAAGGTCCGCCCTTGTTTCCTGTACCAAAAGCTGGCAGCCTGACAAATTACTGGAAACTCCTTTACTGCAGTGCCTTTGTGGTTACTGAGCATAAAGTGAGAGAAGAACTGAGGGTCGGGGCTGCAGTTCGGCTCTTACATGGGTGAGACGCTGCAACGGTAGCCGCTGGCCAGCTAATAAAGGCTCCAAAATTCAAACACAAACTCTGGTGGTCATCTGTCGCGGGACACCCTAGAACAGTCCAGCATCCATCAACACACATGAAAGTCATAATAAGCCCTTGTGTCTTTCAAACTATCTGTGTATATACCAATTAATATAGACTCTAATTGAAATATCATATTTTTGGAAAGAATACATGTGTTTATATGTAAGCTTGTGCCTAAAATAGGTCTGGAGGGAAGACCATTAGTTATTCCGTGTCTTCGGGAAAACATGTCTTCTGGAATTTAAACATGAAAAACAATTTTTTTAATTATTGCTTTTTGTTTTCATGAAGAAAACCAGTGCTGCTTAATCCATGTTTTACCAATATTTATTATGTTAGCCTGGCTGGCACAGCTCAGTGGTTGAGCATCAACCTATGATCCAGGAGACTGCGTTCAATTCCTGGTCAGGGCACATGCCCAGGTTGTGGGCTCGATCCCCAGTAGGAAATATACAGGAGGCAGCTGATCAATGACTCTCATCATTTGATGTTTCTATCTCTCTCTCTCCCTCTCCTTTCCTCTCTCTGAAATCAATAAAAGACGTATTTTTTAAAAAATTAAAAAAATATTTATTATGTTATAAAAACCATTTAATAATGATAATGTATACGTCCTATTTTATTTATTTATTATTATTATTTTAAATATATCTTTATTGATTTCAGAGAGAGGAAAGGAAAGGGGGAGAGAGAGACAGAAACATCAATGGTGAGAGAGTCGTTGATCAAGCCCACAACTGGGCATGTGCCTTGACCGGGAATCGAACCCTGATCACCTGCATCCCAGGTCGATGCTCAACCGCTGAGCCACGCACAGCCAGGCTATGTCGNCCTGGATCCCAGGTCGATGCTCAACCGCTGAGCCACGCCCAGCCAGGCTATGTCGTATTTTAAAGTTAGGATTTTAAAGACCACTTGCTTTTTTGTTACTAATTTGGGGGGAATTTTGGAAAAGTTTCCTATTTAAATGTTGAATTAAAGATTTAATCTTTTGTAAATATGTGGCCATAAATGTTCTGTTAATTTTAAACTCTGGAAATAAATTTTATTAGTCTTAAGTGTACTTAATTTTTCTTGGCTTATGTAGATAATTGGACTATTTTTTAAACTACAAAGAAATAATTGGATTTTAACTTGATAATCAGGAAGATACAGAGACTATACAAGTTTGTTATATTTGAATTTGTTGACTATCTGTTGTGAAAATTCTTTCAGTGCAATTTTTGTTGGAAAGTATTAGTCTAGTCATTTGTATAGGTTCATTTTTAATTATATTAAATGTAAAATCAGAACAATATGTAATACTTATTATAATTTTTTTGGGGGGCGAAAGACAAATTTGACAATGTTGAAAGAATGGATTGTTTGCAAAACACTAACATTACAGAGTCATAGTCCGGGGGCCTTAGAGATCATCATTCACCCATGAATGAACCCCTTCTCCAGGATTTCCCAGACTCTGTTCTCCACCTGCTTCCATCTTCCAGCGATAGGATTGAAGTGGAAATCACAGTGGTTTCCAGGGTGTCTGCACAGTGGAATCATCTGAGGGCTTCAAAAAATACTGATGTCTCTGTCCCATCTCCAGAGACTGTGATTTCATTCTTTGGTAGTGTGGTCTGGACTTTGGAATTTTCAAAAGGTCTCCAGGTGATCCTAATGTGAAAACAAATTTGGAAACTGCCAATAAATCATGTGGAAAATCACGTTGACCTTTATCAACATTAGAGAATCTACACTGGAGAGGAAACCTGACTAATGTTATGAAGGTTCTTCTATAAGCCTTTAGATGTCACTTCAGAGGATTTATAGCTACATGCATGCACACACCAGAGTTTGTGTAACATGCAGGAAACATGTATTTCCACTTAAATTCAAGAACCATTTCATAGGAAGATATCACAGTGGCAGAGAATCCATGATAATGGTATGGTGGAAAATACTGGGGAACTGGTTGTTAGGACCCTGGCTCTGTCATTTTCTAACTAGACTTGGCCCTTGAACAAAATGGGTTTGAACTGTGCAGGTCCACTTATACGTGAAAGTTTTTTTTTTTTTTAAAATATATCTTTATTGATTTCAGAGAGAGGAAAGGAGAGGGAGAGAGAGAGATAGAAACATCAATGATGAGAGAGTCATTGATC